TTCTGTGTTGTTGTTGGCGGAGCTCCTTTATTGCACTTCCACCCGATCCGCCATCTTGTTTGTTCTCTGAATTACATTATTTGTTACCAATAACATACAGTATGCATGTCCTGTATAAAATAAGTGCTAATTGACTGTGTTATCAGTAAAGCTTTGAGTCTTAAGGCTATTCGTAGGTAAGTTTTGGGGGAGTCAAAAGTTACACTGGAATTTTCAAGTATGCAGGGGATCATTGCTTCTAACCCCCAAGTTGTTCAAGGGTCCACTGTGTATGTAGCTTCTGATTAAGTAGGTTGGAATGAGGACTGATATTTTCCATTTCTGACAGTCTCCCAAGTGATGCAGATACCATGGCTCCATAAAATAGAGTTTTTGAGTCGCAAAGATACAAAGGTCTATTTACAATCTGTAAAATCAGAAAACCAAATAACAATTCAGTTTTTATGAATGGGTCCCACAAGGCCTTAGTTTTTAGTTTAAGCTTTATTATTAAACATTAATCCTGGTGTGGTGCTATAGGATAAGCACTGGATTGCAATGTCGGTTTGTACTGCAAGGTTGGTGGTTCAAGCCCACCAGCCACTCCTTAGAAATCTGATACAGGGTCGCTATGAGTTGGAAGCGACTTGATGCCACATAACAAGCAACAACAAATTAAACAGCAACAATAACAAAAAAACATAACCATTCGCACTGCCATCAAGTCGCTTCCTGCTTACAGCAACCCTGTAAGTCAGAGTAGAATTACTCCTTAGATTTTCCAAGACTAAAGCTATGTGGGCACAGACAGGCAGCCTCATCTTTCTCCTGGAATGGCTAGTGGGTTTGAACCCCAACACTTACTCCACAGTGCCAAAATTGAGGTGAAGAAAATTGAAATAGAAAAAAAATCTTTTCTTCTTTTTTTTTTTTCATTTAGAAAAAATTTGGTTGTCTTTTTAAGTTAATTTTTATGTTTACATCTTTTTAAAACTCTTAGACAAGCTACAAATTTACCTTAACTCTGGTTGTCACCCTTAGGCTATTTCAAATTTTTGTTGTTAAGTGCCATGGAGTAGATTCTGACTCATAGTGACTCTGTATAGGGTTTCCAAAGAGCAGTTGGATGGTTCAAACTATCCTTGCAGTCCAGTTCTTTATCCCATAGCACCATAGGGAAGAATTAATTCAATTTGTAGAAACTTTTCTTAGAAGTGTGTAAAACTAAGTTTTTAGTATAAATGTTAAATTACTTAGTTTACTAACTTCATTTTCATGATCACAAAAGATAGCAAATTTGCTTTTTAATTTGAAATTCAGATTTACACTGTTGTTTGCTGAGCGTTTTATTGTAACTACCATCCAACCTAATGGGATCTCGTGTTCTGATTTTATTTCTTTCTCTGAATAAGGGACCTCTATCCCAGGCCACCAATCACAGTTCAGATGAAGAAGATTCTGGGGCAGTGGATGTAGACCTGAACCTGGTCTCAAACATACTGGAATCCTATAACTCCCAAGCTGGACTGGCAGGACCAGCTTCCAACCTCTTGCAAAGTATGGGAGTGCAGCTGCCTGACAACACTGACCACAGACCCTCAAGTAAGCCAGCAAAACATTAACCAGAACTCCCAGCCTCTTTTTTCGTCTGAAATAAATATGTAGTCTGCTTGTGTTCATTGCTATCTTAAGATTGCTCATTTAGTAATAATCTTTCTTCACTGTAAGTTTCACAGGGTAACTTGTCCATGAGTCCCAAATATTGCCGTCTGTGCACTCTTTGTGAGCTCAGTTCTGGGTTGCACATAGGTACTGGCATTGCAGAAAAATGGAGAGAAATTAAGCCTTTGAGCATCCCCTATATTGAGAAGTTTACAGACTCCATGTTAGGGACACAGTCTACTGCAGTGCACCCTCAGCATGTAACCACCATGTAAATCAAGGTGTTGAACTTATTTTTTTTATAACAACTTTATTGAGATATAACTCATAGCATCAAGTTCACCCATAAAGTTTATGATTCCATGAGAAGAGAATTCAGCAGTGAATCGTTAGAAAGATTAGTAAGATTCTAAATTCGAATGCTTTTCTATATATCAGCAACAAAGAATTCAAAAGACACCATTTATCCCAGATGGGATAATTTGAACATCAAAAATAATGACTAATTCTCTGAAGCATATTAAGCAAATAAAAGCCCTTGAATTCATAATGAGGCACATGGAGTATCAAAAGAGATTCAAGGAGAAAAATATTGAAAGAGAAAATCCATGAAACTCATTAGTTACCATTAAAGGTTGCCATTATGTTACCATTATGCCATTAGTTACCATTATGGCATCAATTTCTTATTCTAAAAATTGACAATGAAAAAATACGCCTGTTCTGCATGAAATGAAATAGCACTTAGGATCAGGGAACTCTTCACAGAAAAACTACCTAATATGAAAGGGATCACATAGAAAATCACTAGTGTTCAGCTCTTAAAAGAATTGATTTATGGTACAGTTACAGAATCAGTCAATAACTTTAACATGAAAGAAATTGGGCTATTAGCCTGAACACACAAGGGGAAAAACCAGGTATTCTGTGCCCATTCCTGTGATGCAATATGAAGTACAAAGTACTGATTTAAAGCTATTCTTGCCTAGATGGTGGACCTGTTCCCATCCTAGTCTCTATTTCCATCTTCTAGATTATAAGAAATTATCTGGGAATAGAAGAACAAGTTACGTGATAATGAGGAAGTAACAGAGAAATGCAGGATGCAGAACATTTTACATAACAACTGACCAGTTTTTTTGCCTATAAGTTAATGGTACTTTGGGGGGGAAAAAGACAAAAAGTATATCTACTACAGATATATTGGGTAAATTTGTTTGTATTCTGATTTCAGAAGTTGTTTTGAGATGGGAAATTTGAATATTAGATAATACAAAATAATTATTGTTAGACCTGACAGTGGCAGTGAATTAATATAAGAAAATACTCATTTCTTAGAGATACATACTGAGTTAGGAAGGGTAAAATTATGTGACGTTTATGATTTGCTCTAAAATACTTAAGTTAAAAAAGTCGATTGAGGTGAGGTAAATTTTTGATGATGATGGCTGTGCTGTTATTGTTAGCTGCCTAACTCATGGCAAACCATGCACAGTGGAATGAAATGTTGTCAGATCCTGTGCAGTCCCAGGATGGACTTCAGATCAGACTGTTAGGATCCTTAGGCCTTTCATTGCTGATTTCAGAAGGACAAGTATAAATAAAAAAGCATGAGGGACTTCAAAAAGTTCATGGAAAATTCCATTCTCTTTTCATTCCTTTTTTCCATGAACTTTTTGAAGCCCCCTTCTTTACTACTTAGCGTTCCAATTCTTAACATAGGTTTATTCCAGATGAACCACATTTGAACGTGTGTGCAGTCAATGGGTGGTTGCAAACAAGTTCTCTCAGTAAAATACTTGTCTTAGTATTGTTAGGATGTCTTCAAGAAAAAACAGCTATTTTTTGTGCCCAAAAAAGCCCAACAATTTTGAGGTCAAGGCTAATATCAAACTTTTATTAAATCTCAAATGGACATCTTCCTAAATTCTTGAAGCTTTGCAACAAGTTTACAGAGATGCTGCCCCACATCAACAGCATTTAGATGATCAAGCTGTTTAAGGAAGGTCAGGAAGACCTCCAAGATAAGCCGAGAGGGAAGACGGTTGACAAATGAAAAAAAAAACTGGCTGAAGCCCAGAAATTGGTAGAAGCAGCTGGAAGAATTATCACAGATGCAATAGCTCCTGCAGCTGGGATGCCACATGTTTGGTGTTTTCAATTTTAAGCAGACATCTTAGCTTCAGCAAGCTTTCAGCTAAATGGGCGCCAAAAGTGTTGCACAAAGATCTTTCCGTCAGTCATTTAAAGAAGATGGAAGCTAAGATGATTTTATGTAACAAATCATAACCAGGGATGAATCTTGGATTTACCGGCACAATCCAAAGAGCAGCGACCAAACAAAATGGGCCTCCAGGGAGGTCTCCTGGGCCAGTTAAATCCAAAGCAAAGAGGTCAGCTCAGAGGTTATGACAACTTTTTTTTGTATTCCAAAAGCATAATCTTTACAGATTTTCTCAAAGGATGCAGCACAATCACATGGGGCTAACATGAAGAAGTTTTAAGAAAAAGGCCAAGAAAGTTGTGCCAAAGAATTGTTCATTCTGACAGTGGACCTGCTCGTTCACTGAGTGTAGCAACAGCTGTCCTCTGAGAATCTCAGTGGGAAATGTTCCCCCATCCACCCTACAGCCCTGATCTTGCCTCTTCAGACTTTCTTTTCCAATAAACACTTAGAAGGAACACAATTCGAGTCCCTCTAGGGTGCCAAAACGAATCTATCTCAGTGTAGTCTCCATTGAAAGCTGTTCACATACCAACATGCATGACTTCATATGGGGATTTGCTATACTAAGCTCAAAAATATTTACAATAACATCTACAACTGTAAAGGAGACAACTCAAGGAGAGGTCTGTTTTTTTTTTTTTTTGTTTTTTTATTTAAGATTTTTATTGTGGATTGAGTGAAAGTTTACAGGGCACATCATCAGTTTTACATTCAACAAATTATATACCTTGTTTCATTACACTGATTATAATCCCCTCCATGCACCACCAGTTAACAGTATTTCTCTCTATCCACTTTAGCTTTTTAACAAACAAACAAAAAAAACCACTCAGGCATATATAATAATTTACATCTTCAAAGGGCACATTCTGCAAGTCTGCCTCCTGGCCACCAGCTCTTAGTCCTTCTCTTCTTAGTTGATGAATCTAGAGTCCTCAGCTGCTCC